ATGTGCGACTTGGAGGTGAGCTTTTTGGTTGTGGTGTTTCCTTGCTGCCCTATGTTTCTACGTGGTAGAGATCATGGGCTTGGAAGATTCTGTTAAAGGAGACTTGGTGAGTTGCTACAGTCCATTTTGTATGTGCTACACATTGCTGCCGCAGTGCACCAGTGGCAATGTTTAAGATGGTGGGACAGGGTATGAACAAAGTGGGATGTTTTGTCCTGGATAGTATTGAGCTTAAGTATTGTTGAAGCAGCAACGAACCAATGAAATTGAAGCGTATTCAATTTCACTCATGACTTGTGCATTGCAGATATGAAGGACAGAATTTTAAGAGTAAGAAGGTAACTTACTCATTGCACAATTCCCAGACTCTGACCTGCTCTTGTAACCACAGTATTTAGTGGCTGGTCTATTAGAGTGTCAGAACAACAGTGACCCCCAGCATTATGATGATGGGAGACTCAACAATAAAAATGCCATTCAATGCCAACAAGTAGTGATTAGATACTTTCTTGTTGGGAATGCTTGAATGCAGTCCAGGTCTGACTGCACGCACTCAGAATGCTGTGGTAACTGAGGAGATGCGAATAGAACTGAACATTGTAGTCAGCAGCATTCATCCTCATCTCTGACTTTATGATGGAGGGAAGGTCATTGATGGAGCAGCTGACAGTGACTGAACCTAGGACACTGTCCCAATGAACTTCTGCAGCAACACCCTGGGCCTGAGATGATATATTAGAAATTTAGACACCAAAACTAAATCAAATAATAGTTTCATTTTTACAGCTCCTCTACTGAGTATGCGTGAAACCAATCAAAAAGTAGCTCTTAGTATCTGACTGAATTACATCAGCTAAGATATCAAATCAAACTTTAACATTTTGTTTCTCTCATAAAAACAGAGCTAGCACTTTAGGACAAAGATAGCCAAATGGAGAGATGGGTTGGAAATGTCACTCCAGCAAGTTCTCAGTGGGAGCAACACTGAAGTGAACATTAAATTAATCCCCAAATTAAAACACTTATTGAATTCATCAAATTTCTTCTGTAAGATACAACTTATGGTAGCCAAGTCAAGACCTGTGATTGCGCTGTACCTACTGAAGTCAATATAAGTTACGTGCAGACACATTCTCTGTGACGTCAACTCTCATAATAAGACAGCCCTTATTTTTCCATAATTTCCACAGGATTCCGCGGTATATTTAGAAAGTGAAGGTATCTGGATCAATTCCCTCTCTTTGTATGCAATTTTATGCTGTCTGCACCAGCACCGAGTAATGCAACATTCAGGGGCAGACGGTTAAGGGTGACTATATTCAAGTCACACAACTATATGCTACATTTGACTGCTCCAAAGAGAAATTACATTTAATACTGCTGACAAAGGGAGAAACTGTCGCAAGGTTTTCATTAGGCCATGTAAAACAGTTCAAGGATCACTGAAGAGCGGTTCTGGGGTCACAGTTAGTTGAAGTTGATGACAGGTAGGAAGAGATGTTAGCTCTATGCAAAAATTAACTGTTTGGCTGGACTGAAAAAGGAACTGAACTACACAGTCTGCACAGCTAGGGACTGGGAGAATTCAATAGCAGCTGGATAACTGTGGGCTATTAGAACTCAGGAACAAGTTCTCGGAGTTATAGGCAGCTAAGTGTTGAAGTCAGGGCTCAGGGAAAGTCCTTGGAAATGTGAGGTCTTAGAAGAAGCCATGTGCCCCTAACAGTTCATGGCAGCCATTAACAAGATTGAAGGAAATTCACAAGCAATATTTGCTTTCTGCAACTGAGCTAGATTAGACCATGGGAACATTATGGCATGGTGAAGTTGGCTGATTGCGAAAAAGTAGAGTTATGTCCGAGTTGAGTCCTGCAGTGCGGGTTCCAGAATCCAGGGGAGCAGTCATAGGAAAGGAATGTGAATGACCAGGACACAAGTAGTCATTCAGGCCATGACAGAGGAGCCTTTGTGGGAATTTCAAGTGTAGGTTGCAAGTTAAGCAATGTAATCTCTTGTGAAGAACTAATGAGATTTGATGACCCAAAGAAATCTGTCCGAATTGTTTCTAAGACTAAACCATATATGGTCTACAAAATAAATATATATAATTGGCAATTCTACGTAAACTTAAAATTACAGAAATGCCTGGAGAAACTCAGCCAGTCTGGCAGCATCTGTGGAAAGCTCTCCAGAACTCTTGGATCACTGGACCCAAAACATTAACTCTGCTTTCTCTCCACAGATTCTACCAGACCTGCTGAATTTCTGTAGCCATTTCTATTTTGGTTCTGATTTCCAGCATCTGCAGTTGTTTAAATTTAAAATTAGTTGTGACCAATTGGAGGTGTGGGACTAGAAATAAACAAAGAAATGGCAGAAGAATCGAACACATACTTTAGAGCTGCCTTCACTAAACAGGGCACAAATAACCTCACAGAAACATTAGGGAACCAACAGCCTCGTGAGATGGCGGAACAGAAGGAAATCAGTATTAGGAAGAAACTGGTGGTGGGGAAATTAACAGGGTTAAAGGCTCACAAATCAAGGGAGTAGATCATACATCCCAGAGTACTAAAGGGAGTTGCTCTCGAAATTACGGATGCATTGGTGTTCGTCTTCCAAAACAGATTCTGAAGCAGTTCCTACAGATTGGAAAGTAGCAAATATAATCTCCCTATTTATAAAGGAGAAGGGAGAAAGAGGGAGAGAAAAATCTGAGAATTACAGACCAGTTGGCCTACATCATCGTAGTAGGGAAAATGCTAGATTCTACATATTTTCTATTGAGAGGTATTATTACACACCTCTGGAGCAGGTGGGACTTGAACCCAAGTCTCCTACCAGGGACACTAGCATTGTGCCACAAGAGCCTGAAATGAGAGTGTCTATTATAAAAGAGTTGACAACCAAACATTTGGAAAGCACTAACAGAGCTGGACAAAGCCAGCATGGGTTTATTAAAGGCAAATCGTGCTTAACAAATCTGCAGCATTTGGAGGATTTAACTAATAGAAAAGGAAGAACCAGTGAGTGTGAATTTTTAGAAGGCTTCTGATAAGGTACCTCAAAGAGGCTAGTGGGTAAAGGTAAAGCACATGGGATGGGGATAATATATTGGCGTGGATTGAGAATTCGTTGACAGTCAGAAAACAGAGTGGGAATGAATGAGCCTTTTCCTGAGTTGTAGGCAGTGACCAGTGGTGTACCGCAAGGATTAATACTTGGGCCCCAGCTGATATATATAACTGACCTTGATGAGTGAACCACATGAAATACTTCTAAGTTTGCTAATGACACAAAACTGGGTGAGATTGAGAGTTATGAGGTGGGTGCAAAGAGGCTGCAAGGTGATTTAGGCAAGTTGGCTGAGTATGCAAACACATGGCTGTTGCGGCACAATGTGGCTAACTGTCAAGTCATGCAGTTTAATGTGAAAAGCAGAAAGGAAGAGTATTATTTAAATAGTGATATATGGGAAGTGAGGATGTACAAAGGTATTCTTGCCAATGGCAGTAGACAGGCAGGTACAACAAATTAGGATGGCAAATGATAGAGTGGCCTTCAGTACAATGGAGTGTCGTACGCAGATTTGGTATTCCTACCCAAGAAAGAATATACTTATCATAGATGGAGTGCATTGAAGGTTCACTGGGTTAATACCAGGGATGGCAGGACTGGCGCATGAGGAAACATTGTATCGACTGGGCTTGTATTCACTAGAATTTAGAAGGATGAGAGGGCATCTGATTGAAACATATAAAATTCAAACAGGGCAAGACAGCTTTGGATGCAGGGAGGATGTTTTCTCTGGCTGGGAAGTCTAGAGCCAGGGAATACAATCTTAAGATATGGGGTAGATTATTTAAGACTGAGATAAGGAACAACTTCTTCACTGAATCGGTGGAATTCCCTACCACAGAAGGTTGTGGAAGGCAAGTCACTGAAAACATCCAAGGAACAGACAGACTTTGTTTCAGATTTTAAAGGTACAAGGGGTATGAGACAACGTAAAAATGCTGTATTGAGATAGAGGATCCGTTCTGATGATACTGAATGGTGGAGCAGGCTCGAAGAGCCGAATAGCTCACTCCTGCTCCTAGTTTATGTTTTACGGTGCACCCCTTCAACCTTGGTTGTAATAACATTGAAAAATTGTGACGAGACATTTATTCTACACTGCACTACTGTGTGTTTAGCGTGTTAACTGAAGCAAGAAATTGTAGTTCGAGGGACTCAAAGCAGCTGCAATGCTTTAATGTGTGCAAGGTTCTCAAGGGTATGCCCAAGACTTCCAAAGTCATAAATCTTCATAAATTGCAAAATGACTCATGACTCCTCTCGAGTTTAATTAACTTCTATTCTAGGATATACAAGAACATAAGAACATAAGAACTAGGAACAGGAGTAGGCCATCTGGCCCCTCGAGCCTGCCCCGCCATTTAATAAGATCATGGCTGATCTTTTTGAGACTCAGCTCCATTTACCCGCCCACTCACCATAACCCTTAATTACTTTACTGTTCAAAAATTTATCTAGCCTTGCCTTAAAAACATTCAGTGAGGTAGCTTCAACCGCTTCACTGGGCAGGGACTAGTGTATACACTGTTAAATATCTTAATTTATTAAAAAGTTAAGAAAATCTGTATTTTCCTCCCTATTTAAGTATTTGGCTTGTCTACCACCAGTACTAATCTGCCTTACTGTAACTTCATTAGAGTTGGAGCATCTAATTATTTTTCAACTGCTTGCATTCTCTCTCAGGCTATCACTTTCTCACATGTTAAACGTTCTAACTGAAAATCTGTTTTTTTCAAAGGTAATTGATGTAAATATAATATGGCGTATTTTCACTTTTTAAATATTTCAAGGGCTCATTCACTTAACTGAGCAGGCCTGCGGCTCCTTTGTGAAATGCGTGCTCAGGGTTCAAAATATCAATCATAAGCTTGTTTTCTTCAAAATTTGGATCAAATCAAAAAAAAAAATCACAAATCACATACCAAACTGTCTAGTCCACCTCCCAAAAGATCCACAGCTCCCATCTGCATTGAAGACATCTGTGGTACATTGACAGGGGGTCCCAGGTCAAGGTTCAGCAGGTCACCCAGAAGGTCACCTTGGGATGGAATAACTTGAGGTTGTTGCTCCAAAGTCAAGTTTGCTGCAGGGGTTGGCCCAACTGGACTATCAGGCTCAATTCTAAAGCAGAGAGAAATACAGTATCAAAGCATTATTCAGATGCATGTAAAGCACAAGAAATAATTTCAAATGAGGAACATTAGCAGACATTGCAAAATAACAGTAGAATACATTGCATCTGTCACTGATTGACTTATCGCATGTCTGTACATATAGTGCTCACATGACTTGGTAAATTAAAGTCATTTAGACAACATTTGGGATATAGACCCTCCAACAATTGCAGTTTGCCTTATCTTTAAATATACTAGAGTTGTTAATGAACATGCACAAAAGCCAACAGTGAAACAGACATGTATCAGTGATAGCTGTGTAAGTTGAGAGTGAATTATCTGTATTTATGAAAATTTTATGGAATGGTTTATTATTATAATCAAAGGCAGAGAAACTCTCAGTCACTCAGCAGCTTTCTGGTCACATTTTACAATGCAACCTGTTATCTACATCACAGCAGTATACTTTCTCACTGTCCTGGCCATTAAATCATTTAAAAATTGAAATTTCCACAGATGCTCAGCAACTGTGTTTCTGGGCAACAGTTCAATGATCTTCACTTAGGTTGCTGACAATCACACCTCTGCATCTCGGCACTGTACAGACAGAGATAATAATAATGACACAAAACCACAACTCCAGGCAAGACAGCTCAACAGTGAAAACTTTAATGACTTGAATAATTTCAAAGGGAGGAAGGTTTAGGCAAAGAGAGCTTTCAAATCCAAGCGAGAGTCTAAAGTCAAGATGACAGAATGGCATACGTATAGAAAAGCTGAGGAGGATTGATCGAGACAAACTTAAATGGGAATAGTGCACCAGCGAATAACATCCAGGTGGCACAGTGGCTCAGTGGTTAGCACTGCTGCCTCATGTCGCCAGGGTATTAGTTTCGATTCCAGCCTCGAACTGAGTTTGCACTTTCTCCACACGCCTGCACAGGTTTTCTTGGGATGCTCTGGTTTCCTCCCACGGTCCAAAGATGTGCAGGCTAAACTGTGCATAGAGTACAAAGATGTGCAGGCTAGGTGGATTAGCCATGGGAAATACAGCGTTAAGGGGATGCTCTTTGGAGGGATGGTGTTCACTCAATGGGCCAAATGGCCTGCTTCCACTCAAGGGTTTCTATGAGTATCCATCCACATATGGGTTAGAATAAAATTAAAGGCTCTTTACTACGAATGCTATAAAAATTTAGTGAACTAGTGGCAGAGATAAATGATTGAGATCAGGTCTTTCCAAAGTGGGAGTCAGGATCTCAAACTGAAATTTTGGAGTTGCCAGCACTAAGACATGAAGTTCTGACCAAGGTATAACAGGCCTCTAGACACAGTGAACCACTCCCCCACCCCCAAGTCTTGTATTTCTCACCAAGAGGTCATGACAATTTTCCAGCTTCAAAATTCAAGGTTTGTAGTTTTTGACAAAATCAGGGCAGAGGGAGAAAGTTTTATTTTTGATTTAGATCAAATCACCACTTAGAAAGACATTGTTACAAGGTGACCAAGATTGGAATATTTATTACCCAAAGTACACAGCACTTTGAAAAAACAGATAGAATGGAAAGAGAGAATTGTCTTAATAGTGAGAAGGATCTTGGCTCAGAAATTTCAGGAAGTAGAATCAATATAGATGGACCTTGGGAAGAACAAGGGTCAGAAAATGAATAGCTTATAGATACACTAATAATTGATGGTCTGTCCAATTAAGTAAGAAATGATTACAGCTTGGAACAAAGGCAACTTCAGAGTTCTAAGGTACTTTAATCTTCATACAGACTACGTCAATCAAATTTGTGAAAGGGCAGTACAAGATAAATTTCTTAAATGCTTTTGTGTGACAGTTTCCAAATACGGGTAAAGCTATTTTAGATTGATTATTGTGCAACCAGGCAGTGTTTATTAGCAATCTCATAGTAAAAGATTATCTAGGAAAACGTAATATATCTGAATTCCATTTTAGCTCCAATCTTCTGGTCAGAACAAAATGAGTATGTAGCCTGTTTAAAACTGTACTCTGGTCTATTTACATTGGAGCCTTTGGACTGTCCCTCACTGGTTCCAGCTCAGATCCATCGATCAGCAGAGTGGCTAGGCCTTGTGACAAACTACAAGTCCAGTGAAGTCAATCCCACTTTTCCCATCATGAACTGAAGGCATGCCTCTTCAGATTTGTCTTCAGATGATTGATTTGCCGTATTTTCAAACTGTCCTGGTCCTGAGGAGCTGCATGGTCTACTGATGCTCCGACTTCTCATGTTCTTATGACTAAAAGTTTAATGAAAAGTCCACCGTCGACTTTTATTCTGATGTGTAAATGGCAGAGAGGTGCATTGGTAGAGTCTCTGTGTGAAGGATTCTGTGTGAAGACATAATATTCCTAAACTCTTAAATATATGTCTACAGTATGGAATTGATCCTTATTAAAAAAAACATTCAATCTTTCCTGAATTTTACTGAAAGTCAAATACTTCCTTGGGGATTCAAACAGCAATGTCACATCATCAGTTCAGATTATTATGCTGGCCCTGAAATAAAAATTAAACTTGCTTTGGCTGTCATTATAGCACAAATAACAGAAGTATTTATTAAGGAACTAGAGCAAAAGATTCCAGTGGTGAATATGGTCATTCCATTACCTCAAAACTAACATAATGACTAATTTTCTGGGATAGAATGGCAGTGAGGTGGATGAATAAATATTTACGAAAAAGGAAATAATGATTGTAGAACACAGGGAGCTATAGCGGCTGCATTAAACCTCAGCTCACCGACAAAATATGTGTTTTATCTAGTAGCTTTCATCCATTAGTGGCTGAAAGTGAAAATATAGATAACTTCTAACTATTATAAATTATGTGTATGCTTGGGTGGCATGGTGGCTCAGTGGTTAGCACTGCTGCCTCACAGTGCAAGGGACCCCAGTTTGATTCAAACCTCCAGTCTGTGTGGAGTTTGCACATTCTCTCCGTGTCCGTGTTGATATTTCTCTGGCTGCTCTGGTTTCTTCCCACAGTCGAAAGATGTGCAGGTTAGGTGGATTGGCCATGCTAGATTGCCCATGGTGTCCACTGATGTGCATGTTCAGGATTAGCCATGGGAAATGCAGGGTTACAATGATAGAATCGGGGTGGTCTGCGTGGGATGCTCTTCAGAGGGTTGGTGTAGACTCGATGGGCTAAATGGCCTGCTTGCACACTGCAGGGATTCTATGAATTTAAACTTGACCACTAATGACTCAAAGTTGTTTTGCTTAGTGCTGGCATAGCTGGCTTCTATAAATTTTAAATATTCAAGCAATTCTACACTGAGAGTTAAACACACTACTGTCAAATTGGTCCTACTGTCAAAATGCTTTGACTCACACCTTAACTCTCACTGTCACTTCATTTTTGCTTAAATTGGGAAATCAAATGAGAGAATCACTTCCCATTATACAGAGACTAACAAGACTGAGAAGAACAGGTGCAAGGTAAATAGGGAAGAAAAATCAAGCTTCTGTTTTCAAGTATTGAAAGCTGTAAGGAGAAAAACAAAGTGAATGTTTTCGCTAGATGAGAATCATTGAGAATAGAAGACTTTATAACAAGTCAGGATATTATCAAACTATAGTGTCTACATAGGAGAAATAAAGAAACTCAGAAGCACTGGACAAAAACAACTTCCTTATTAAAGGTACCTGGGAGAAGGGGAGATGAAGAATTAGCAGGAACTTTAGAAATTGTACATACTAAGGGTGAGTGATTTGAAGGAAATTGATGAGAGGAATTATCAACCAGACAGCAGTATAACCCCGAGACCAAATGCTGCATGGAAGGCTGCAAAGTAATTCAGTCCACTCCTTACAAAAGGTCAACTATAATTTGCCTCCACCGTTGAGGACAGGGAGAGCACTGAGAAACTTGGAGAATTGTAACTAGGGAAATGAAATATGTTCTGCTAAATCCCCTAATGAAACATCGTACACACTGTGTGGGAGAAATGATTTTCATTGGACAAAACAATATTGCTGAATTTCATACTTGACACGTTAAAACAAAGGACAATCTGGTTCTGAGCATTAATCACAAATCAGTTTTGCCTTGTTGTCAGAAATAGCGACCATAATCTTAATAAGTCAGTGTTAAAAATCAAAGAAAACAATTCAGTTTATCTTTTTTCATTACAAATGCCAAAGAAAAAGCTTGAACCAAGACTAAAAAAGACTGCACAACAAACTGTTTGGCTGAGGAAATTTGGGAGATCTTGTCAACCCAAAACACAGATGCCAATCAAAAGCAGTTAATGTAGTTTTGGCGAGCTCTCTTGAAAATGGAGTAAAATAAGTTTCACATGATTATGAAATTAACCCAACATTGACAGTTAAACGTAAACAATTTTGTAACCGTATTTCCAACTTTGCTGCAAACCAAAGCTCATGATAGCTTGGTTAGGTAAATACCATAGAATGCTCATCAGGCTCACCTCAATCAAGTTATTAAACAAGTTGGACAGAACTACACCCATACAAATTGGTACCAACTACTGAAAAACAGGCACATCGAACCAAACAATCTTGACTTTTTCATGCTTTATGTCCCACATGTCTATATCAACAGGTTGTATCCTGGTGCCAAAACATCATATTCTCCCACAGTGGATTATTCATTAAAGTAAATAAATCTCTATGATAGCATCATTCTCTGCTAACGCAGTGACTGGCATGCAGGGTGAGGAAGATGTAAAACCAATTCCTCTAACTTCAGCTGCCCTACTGCAGCAGGTCAAGCTGCAGTTGAAACAAGTTAACGCATGCTTTGGGCACACTAGGTTGCCAATTCAGTCTCTCACATTTTTGCGTCTGTATAATCTCAGGTTTGAGGAGGTCATCTGCACTTGTATAATATCAGTGCTCGCTCATGTGTAACTCAAATTCTGTGATACTGAATATAGGATAACCAGTAATGCTATCATTCTAGCAAAGGGAACTTTTCCTCATTAGGCTACCAATAAAACAGGCTTTTTCCTCCAAGGTTTGTAGTTTTGATGATCCTTAGACAACAGTGCCAAGCAATGCAACATGGTTAAATGAAAGGCTAATGTGCACTCCAGGGAAAATTGTTGCCATCCAGTACAAAATCATAACCAATTTGCCTGGATGTAGTGGATCATTAGGCAGAGATTAGAGATTTCCATATCAGTGAACAACAAGTTTATCTTCTTACACTAAGCACAAAATGTCTGTCTAATTCATTTACATTACAGCCTTTCACACATTGGTACTAACCCTCCAACTTGCATTGGCAGGTGCTTGCGATGGATCCCGTGGCTACCCTCCACAAATGCATTTGGAGGTTTGTGGTAAACGGATGCCAATGAGCCGATATGACAGATGAGCTCATCCAGCAGGGTTGGTTCTATCAAGTCAGTCTCTTCAGAGATCAGTGGTTTTTCAGACAGCACTACCTCTTTTGCCGCCACAGGGTCTGTGGACAGCAAGCGCCAGTAAATGTAACCACGGTCACGGAGATCAGGATTATCAGAATCCTACGGACAAACAGAAAAAGAAGAAATATTAGCACATCTGTAAGCTTTTGCCATGTAGCACATCAATCCAGATTACTCCTGATTCAATAGTTGGAACTCACCAATTAAAAAAAACATCCTTTTAGCACACCAAAATACTGATTGCAAATACTAAGCAAAATCTATGGATGTCACAGAAATATTCTCTTCCACTGAAGTGAAATTTTAAAAAGACCTGCTATATCACCACCTGGAACTATGAAATTCAGACTTTCCCATGCTGAGGGCTGCTGCAGCTCCATGATGAGCTACCCTACAGATTGCAGAATGCGTAGTACATACACAATCCATAACTAATCAGGGTGTCATGCAGGACCACTGAATAAGCCGCACCTGCGCAGAAAACAATTTTCTGGCAATACAGATAACCCTCAACTTCACATAAAAAACTGTCAGGGTGAACTGTTGTTACTTGACAAAAGCAAAACATTACAGTTTTTATTTTGGTTTCACAGCATCTAAGTGCTCAAAAAGCACAGCAGATATGGTAGCACTTGTGCAGAAAGAGAGAGTGGGATTGTCTCAATCAAATGTGATTTCTTTCGAACTGATGAGAGAGGTTAAAATATGTCACATTTTATGCTGTTGAAAGGGAGAAGGTAGAAAAGAAGGGAAGGTTCAAAAGTAAATTGCAGTGGGTATGGAATAAACTATTGTCTCTGTATCAATTTCAAACATCAAGGGCATAAAGCACAACTTTATTCCTTATACTCACAGGAAATGAGCTACAGTTGTGCTTGAAAAAAATTCGGAGACCTTCACTTCTTTGGTTGTAATAGGATTTTACTCCACTAAAGAATTCCACTTACTCACAGAAACTGTGGTGAATGAACAAAACATCAAGGTCAGAGAGAAATCTGAATGTTTGCGTTCTGTTTAGGTCCAGCACCTTTAATATGCTCGAATGTCTGTATTTGATTTCCTTTCCCTCCAATAATATCCATCTACACTCATGTCAACGCCAGCTTCATAATATGTCGGGAAACAAGACATTCCAAAGTATATCGTACACTAAATTTTCTTTCTTTTTAAAAGCTCCACAGGCTCATAAACTCAAAACATTTATTTATTCAGGCTCAGTGTGCAGCAGATCAAAGGTCACACAAAGGTTTTAAAAAAAGCTTTCTCTTAGGCAATGCCATGGGGCTGAGCAGGATTTGTTTCCACACTAAGAATGAGTTCTGAAGTGACTGAACAGTCAAATGCATGACCTTCAGATTGTGCTACAAGCACAGTTAGTGCTTGGAGGGAAATGGGAGGGTAGGATGCCCAGTTTACCATGTATTCCATCGACAATTGGATTCTAGGTGCACATACGCTTCCCAGAAGCTTTCCCTTCACTGCAGACAGCGTTGGTCCAGGATTTCCCAGGTTTTGGTAGGGTTGTTGCATATTATAAGAGGACAACTTTGAGACTGTCCTCTGCTATCCTGGGGTTCACATACCATATTGAAGCTCCAAATACTGTGTTTGATTTGGAGAATTATGTCAGGCATGCAGATGATGTGGCTCACCCAATGGAGCTGATCAAGGCTGGTTAATGCCTCGATGCTAAGGATGTTGACCTGAGTGAGAGCTGACATTGGTGTGTGGATCCTACCAATGGATTTACAGAATCTTAGAGGCACATTCTCTCTCTGCTTGCTGTTTACAGTCCATATCACTGAGCCTTATAGGAGGGACCAAACTATTCTGATTTTCAGTATTTACTTTTCCTTTCACCCCCAACAATATCCACACCACTATCCACACAGACTTCACAATGTTTTCAAATAAGGCACTCAGTAAAGTATCACACACCAAACATTTTCCTTTTAAAAGCTCCACATACTCATAAATCCAATACATTTATTTTTTTCAATCCAGCGAGCATAAGATCAAAGGCCACAAAAAGGGAAAAAAGAGAAGACAAAGTTCACAGTTACAAGCACAGGCACAATTGGACTGGATAATCTGCTGTATACCTTGTGTATTCTGTTATGCATGAGCCTTCCCCATCACTTTTGGTTTAACAGCATGAAGGCAAAGAACATCTGTATTGATAAAATAGCATTCAGCATTTAACCATCCATGAAGACCAAGTTGTATAAATTATTTTTGTATGCTTCACTTAACTCAGCTCAAACTTCTCAATTTTGTTCAATTCAATCCAAAAAGGGTCAATGTATTATGGATCTATTTTGTGTGCTTGACTTAGCTCAATTTATTTGAATTGAAAAAATCCCTCATTGTTCAGATCTTTGAGTATAGAAGGTGGGGTGCCATGTTGAGGCTGTACAGGACATTGATGAGGCCTTTACTGGAATACTTTGTACCGTTCTGGTCGTGCTGTTAGAGGAAGGATGCTATTAAATTGAAGAGGGTTCAGAAAAGATTTACCAGGATGTTGCCAGGAATGGAAGGTTTGAGATATCAAGATAGGCTGGGATGTTTTTCACTGTAGTGGAGGCGGTTGAGGAGTGACCTTATAGAGGTTTATAAAATTATGGGGGGGGCATGGATAACGTGAAAAGCAAGGGTCTTTTCCCTAGGGTGAGGGAGATCAGAACTAGGGGGCATATTTTTTGAGGTGAGGGCAGAAAGATTGATAAAGGAGTGTGATTTGTATGTGGAATGAACTGCCAGAGGAAGTGGTAGATGCAGGTACAGTTACATTTAAAAGACATTTGGATAAGTATATAAACAGGAAATATTTGGAGGATATGGGACAAACACAGCCAAGTGGGACTAGTTTGTGTGGGGAACATGGTTGATGTGGATTAGTTGCACTGAAGGATCTGTTTCCATGCTGTATAACTATGACTCTAAATCAGCCAAAAGCCACATTACAAGAAACCACCAAGGCCGAAGAGGACAAAGAGAGACAAGTCTTGCTTTTTTGGGCAAAGCCAAGATAGGGCATTAAAGGCCTTTTTGCAGGAAGAATGAAAGAAAAAAAATCAGGGAATGAAGGGTTGTCCCAAAGATTAAAAAAAGTTTTAGGATTACAGAAGTCTCCATTATAAGCAGAACATTATTTGTAACAATACTGCTCCTAGGATTTCAATTTCTGCCTTTGTTATACTGTGTTCAAACACTAAATGGTGTGTAGCACAATTTCACACAAAGCTGAAACTATTAGTTAAATTGCATCATTTCCAATGCTTTGTCATTTCATTACAGTTTAATATTTAATTCAATTCTATACACTTCAAAGACTTTCCACCGTATCAGCAAAGCTCAATTCGTTCCGAATGTAGTTAAATTTCACACGTGACCCTTCGTACTAAATAACAGAGTTTCAACTTTTCCTGATGTGGAGACAGGGGTTTTGCCAATGTATGACTCCACAGTTAAGCACCTCACTCAGTTGGCTACAGCCCTAGACACATCATTGAGAGTTTATTCAGCTCAAATAGCATTACAGCCAAATCCAAACTTACCCTCGCCCAACATTCACACGGGGACCAAGAACAGCATAAATCGGGCCCATTCCACCAGCACTTAAATACACAATCCCAGGTGCACCAATACAAAATATATCTTTTCCAACGGTCCAAGTAATAATACTCTAACTTGACACAGGCAATTGAATTCAGGATCTACCTAGCTTTCACAATTCCCTGTTAAGTAACATTCTGGCAAGATGGCAGCAGAGTAGGACCCTCCAGTTGGAGCTCCTCTGCTCACCAGGTCCTTTCCCTTTCTTCTTTTTCTCCTCTTTATAGCTTTTTTTCTCCCCATCACCACCCCACCCCACCCCCACCAACTTTTGACCGCCCTGCCCTACCTGGAGGGTGGAGCTGAGAGAGGCAGGTCATGGCCAGAGCCCGGGCGGGAACAGAGCACATGGGCCGAGTCCAGCAATTGCGGCGCAGCGAGCACAGGCCGATTCGCTGTCCAGTGGGCCAAGGCCGGAGCCAGAACTGGAGCAGGGGCCCAGTGAGTCCTGGAAAGAGGCTGGTAAGTGGATGCAGTCGCCTCATGTTTGGGGGACTGTGGGCATGGTCTCATGTTGGAAAGGGACTGGAACTTAAATACTTTATTGTCACTCTCTATTAACATTCTGGACTTTTTAAACTCTGTTCCCATGCTAAACATTTTTCCCCCACTCTGTAACAACACAAAGTATCTGTACCTAAGATGGTACCAAGAGGCAAAATTACAAACTTTTCACTGCATTCATCCGAGTGCACATGACAATAAAGGTTATTCTATTCTATTTAAATATAGGGGCATAATTCAGAAGTCTGCAGATGATACAAAAATTGGCTTCCTACACTACAGATTTCTGCCTCACCATCAATAGGTTGGTCAGGTGGGTAGAAATATGGCTAATGGAATTTAGTCTAGAGAAATGAGATAATGCGTTTGGCGAAAACTGTGTCAAGACAAGGTAAATGGAATGATATCAAGAAACATCATGGAATCTCACTGTTTGCCTACAGATCACTAAGGCTGGCAGGAGAAGTAAATCAGGTACTTAAGCTGACATGCAAGATAGTTTCCCTAGACGAAGCATAAAACATCAGAGCACAGGGATTACACCGGAAATTTTGAAAGTGCTGAGGCCATAGTTTAAGCACTGCATACAATGTTCTGGTTACAATGCAACATTGTTTCACTGGGGAAATATCTGCTCAAGAGGATAATTTTTTTCAAAATGCTTAAAATGTAATTAAAATTGAAGATGAAATAATTAGAAACAATTTAATTTCAATTGTTATTTCTCACATGGAAATGGTATTCAAATCTGCAATAAGTCAAGCAGGTAACAGCTAATTTGACATGATTCAGATGAAGTGCAGTTGAGGATTATCAGATCAGTCATGGCCTCATTGAATGGTGCAGCAGAGCTGATGGGCTGAATGGCATAGCTTTATTCCTACATCATATGGTCTTATTACTTCGCCAAATCTCTATAATATCAATACCCAGGGATTAGAGAGAAGCTGCAGAGTACCCTGATGACACACTGCCTGGAACATCTCATAGAATAATGATCGTTGAAATACTAATGTCCTTTCAGGGTACAAAGCAAACCCCAGCATCAGGAGAGCTATGAGATACCACTTGATGACCTAGAATTCCTCAGATTTATGTGACGATGCTGTCACTTTAAGAAGTTATTTTGTCCTGGATTTTTTTTTGGAAACAGGTTGTAAGGCAGAGGTACCAAACTGACTAGTTCATATCACTTGAGTAAACAGCTAGGGAAGCCTTGGATTTTTTAAAATAGCCTAAATGGGTATGGCCAGCTCTCTCAGATAAGGATTTCTGGGTTTTGGTTTTTCAGTAGCATCAGAAGCTACTGGGGTCTCAACAGAGTTGGAAGCTTCAGTGAATGCCTCCTGGCTGCTACTTTCTCTGAGTTTTCTCTTTACGTTTTTTCCCTCCTGGATTGGAGAACTGCATATGAGAATTTGTTTCTGAATTTGCCTTTTTGCAGGGGGTATGTTTATGGGATATTACTATGTTAGAACAGTTAATTAGTAACAGTCACTGTATCTATTATTCTGTTAAATTTTCCAAAAGAGCTAAGTTATTCTAAATTCCTCTTTCTTTGGTTGAATTTTAACTGTAGTGTTTCTAGAAATTATATTTTGCCTAAAGTCGAGTAGTTGACCAGTCGAACTGCATCTGGAACAGGCACTTCACATTTGCCTTTAAAATATGTGGAAGTTAGGGTCTGGGCTACCTTCTTAAAATATTTTGCAAGGGTCTGGTCTGGTCCATAACACTATGAAGAAGGAAACCTTACTGAGGTACATAAATGTTAAGCAGGATAGAGAACATTTTTATCAACCAATAAAGGTCAGGACAATAAGACAAGTGGGCATAGGAGTTCCAAACTGCAGACAGAGAATATGGTATCAGGAACTTTATTTTAAAAACACAAAAGCTTAAATGTTAAACATGGTGGTTGAGATCAGAACACTAAACTCATTAAAGGAACAGTGGAACACTGATCAGGAGATAACATGGTTGCTCAAAAGGTTTGGGTCTGCCTCTTAGTAATGGTCCTGGTCACAGTCATAAGCAGTCCAAATACCATTACGCCCAAGAATATGTTCAAACAGTCCAAATATCCAATTATACATTAGAGTTACCCAGGGATTTAACAACGTGTCCTTACTACCTGAGTTGCTTATCGATGCAATGCATATCTGTTTCTTAAAATTTTCAGTACAGACTAAGGAATGTTAATGAGACAAAGTTCATATGAATCAATTGCAGCAAAAACAAAACAATATTTCCTTCACTCAATTTCACTTCTCTCCTCACAAGATTAAAGAAAAAAGTATATGCTGTTCTTTTAAAAAAAAAATTAGCTTGGTTTTGCCATATGCTTTCTTTACACTTCCAAAAGTTCATTTATTTTATAGTTTACAGCTCTAAGGCCCAGACCTATATCTTACAACCTCATCTCTAAAACCTGCTTCAATGTTTCTTTTCATCCCATCTTCTCTGCGCAAACACAGCACTGTGGAGTCCTTCCCAATTTAGGAATTTCGCAGCAGCCCTGTCAACCAAGCTCTCTCTTTGCCTGAGGTTACTTTCTCTGCAGACTCTTCACCCAGGCAGTACATGAATGGATACATGGTTTAGATATTCACCAGAACATTTATCCAAAACACCCTGGTCCAGATTCCTTATCTGACTCCTAACACTTATCTCCCAGGTTCTGCTATTCAAAAAGTATATTTAACCTATCAGTGGCAATATCAAGAAACTGCATCACAAATTCACAATGTTGTGAAATGCCATGTGATCAAACATCTAAAGGGTTTCTATCAAACATGTGGATGGTCAAAATCTGGCAGCGTCCAGAAAAACCTCTCAAGTGCAATGTTTCTTCAGTACAAATCCTGGCATTATCTCAGCAAACTACAAGCATTGCCCTGGCTTTCCTACCTGTGTTGCCAGACTGAGGACCTGCTGGACCAGCTCCTGAGTATCGGTTGGCTTCTTCAAGAATAATTTCACAATTGCCGTAAGCAGGGTCAATTGCACCTGTCGGAGGGAAATCACAAAAATTCTTATTCGTCTTAAATTCCATATCGTTCAGATTACAACTTTCCTTAAGAGGTACATGTGCCAATTTCATGGAATTTATTGCAGGTTATTACAAGGGTAGGCCCAAGTCTTCTGTAGCCTTTTTGAGTTAACTCCCTTAAACCACAAAACCCTACGTTTCACATCCTTGTTATTCACTTCTGATTTCCATGTTTTTGCAATCCTCAGTGTTAAATCTTCAATATTAATAAATTAGCTTAACAAAATTCAACCTATTGTTTTAATTCATGATCAAGTTTCTCTCTGCCATCTCTCCTTCCATATCTCTCTAACACCAGCTTTCCACGAGTTACCTGGCTAAGGCAGAAGCAGGTGACCCAAATTCAGAGGAGCAAATTTAAGAGCATTTATTCACCGGTATTTCTTCCCTCGAGCTCCCCTTTCTTCAATTACTCCCAAATCAGGAAGGTAATTGAATCAATCACAGATAGATCACCAATCGGTCATTCAGCAGATCCACTGGCCCTACCTGGGTACTTTCATCATGGAAGCCATCCAGGAAGCTTTCCAACAGTTCATCAGCGTTGTCGATTCGTTCTGCGTATTCACCCACAATCCAGATCATGGCTGCCCGTGCATCCGGTTCATCAAGTGAATCTAAGTTTTCACACAAGGTTGCAATGATGCTCTCATACCTGGTAAATCAAAGTCACCAAGTTAATTATATCAAATTTATTTCCCACTTGAAACAAACGTGATTGGTGATTTCAGTTAAGAAAGAATCTTTTGGTATTTAATATTAGCTTCTTAGCGGCAAAGGAATGGCATTTTTCCATTGGAGGACACATTTTAATTCTTGGCACATCAATGTTTTGGACTGTTTCACCCATGTCAGGATGTGGAGGTGCTAGTGTTGCACTGGGGTTGACAGAGTCAGATGTCACACGACACCAGGCCACCTCATCTGTCGAAGCAGCAGCGCTCTGAAAGCTTGTGATTTCAAATAAATCTGTTGGACTATAACCTGGTGTCATGAGACTTCTGAATTTACTCATTTCAGTTTCCAGTCAGGACAAGGTCTGTTGTCATTGCAATACATTCTTAATCACTAATAGGATTGTTCTGATTACTCCACTTGTGGCTCGCGATTAATTCCCTCGTTACTTCTGATAGCATCTATGTAGCAATTCTGTTCTCCAAATTTGTCATAGCTATCTTTGAGAAAACAGATCTGAGTACTTTGAATAAATTAGAACTACACTATATGGAATATTGAAGATGAGCTTGATTAAAATAAGACTGCTCAAAATAAGATGGATTTTCCTCTGTCCTGCTCACAAAATATACCTTTAAAATATGTGAAACTCAGCGGAAAGATGACTGTTCAATCTTTATTCCCATTGTTCTCCTGGCCACACTTTCCTGGTGGTTGCACCAACTTTGGTCCAGCTGTGCACATTAACGTAAATTACATATAAATGAGAATGTCAAATATTTCTTAGAAGTGCTAAAAGTTAATTAGAAGTAGATGGTTCCTACACAAACTTACTCTACTGCTTCCTGAACTGCTATTAGGAAGTCACTTGTCTTGTTGATAAAGTGGCAGTGTCACACAAGATCTCAATTTTTGAATTTTTAAATAAAAACATTTTTTCTGCTTTGGTGCTTGGCAGAGATTTACATTTACCTTTTATATGTAACAACAGAGGTAATGTTTTGGCTTTCCTACCCTTCCCTCTTTTGCAATATGGCTTGTTTAACAGCTGTTTGCCCTGACCACCTTCAAATATGCCAATTCCAATGGTTTTGTTACTGTTCCCCTGCTGAAACAGATATGGCAGCTCTTGAGACAGGGCAAAAGAGATTTGCTAGAATGGTTCCAAGGACAAGGAATTCTAGCTGCAAGGTTAGTTTGAAGAAGCTGCAGTTGTTCTCCTTTTATAGATTACGGTATAGGTAATATAAGGTATAGCTAAAATAGAGAAAAGAACAGCTATTCCATTAGTTGAGTCTATGAGAAGGAGAAACAGATTTGGGCAACAGATGCATGAAAACAAAGGAAAATAGTAATTAGGAATGGAAGTAGGCAATTCAGCCTCTCTGCCACTTAACACGATCATGGCTGATCTTAGCATGATCTGAACTCCACTTTCTTGCCTGCTTACCATAGCTCTTTATCTCATTTTTCATTTGAAACACATCTATTTCTTTCTTGAATCTGTTTGTTGATTCTGCCTCGCCTGCACTCTGGGCAGTGTGTTCCACAGAATCACAACCCTTTAATAGAAGCAACTTCTCGTCATCTCAGTTTTGAACCTACCTCCTCTCTATATCTATGCCCTCTTGTTCGAAACTGTCCCGCCAGGGAAAACATCTGTTCATGTTCACCTTGTCAATCCCTTTTAGCATTTTGCATACATCAATCAGATGCCCTCTCATTTTTCTGAGCTCCAGAGAGAGTATAAACCCAAGCTATTCAACTGCTGTTCGTATGACGGCCCTTTCATTCCTGGAATCAACCTGATGAACCTCCTCTGTACTGCCTCAAGTGTCATCACATCCTTTCTCAAGAAAGGAGACCAAAACTGGGCACAATATTCCAGGTGTGGTCTCATCGACACCTTTTATAAATGTAACAACGCCTCTTTCCTTTTGTAATCCAATCCTTTTGCAATAAATGCTAGGATTCCATTTGCCTTTCGGCATATCCATTTTCGGCAATTCATGCACAGAGACAGCCAGATCCCTCTGCACTGACACATTTTGGATCTGCTTCCTGTTTATATATTAATTTACCCTTTTGTTTTTCCAGCCAAAATGGACAAACTCACTTATCCTCATTCAATTCTATCTGCCAGATTGTGGATCCTTCTCCTAGCCTATCAATATCCATCTGCAAACTCTTTCTCCTTATCATAGCCTGCTTTCCAGCCTTTTCTAGTATCATCCGTGAACTTTGCTGTGTTACACTCTGTCCCTGCTTGCAGATCATTTATATAGATTGTAAGTAGTTAAGGTCCGAGAACTGAACCCTCCGGCATCCCACTAGTTACAGTTTGCCACCTGCAGACAGATCCATTTATCCTGGCCAACTGCTTTTGGCTTGAAAAAGCATGAAAGAGAAAACTTCTCTCGCGTGGAGTGGTAATGGCCTTACACTTAATACCTACAAGCATGGTGGAAATTAAGCTGATCAATGATTTCAAAAGGAATTTGGTGGGTACTTGAGCAAAATAAATTGCAGGAACATTAGGAATAGACCAGGAGAGTTGGATTGGTCTACAAAGAGCTGGCACAGAGTCAATGTGGTGAATGGCCATTTTCTACGCTACAATAACTGTGACTGTATGAAACATCCAGTCTAAATTAGTTTGTTGACACAGAGAATGGATTCACAGCACAGAGCATTGCCAGGTAGGCTGCCAAGTCTCTTGGACAGCACCTAGAAATGAACTTTCACGCTGTATCATAGAATCCCTACAGTGTAGAAACACGCCCCCCCCCCCCCCCCCACCACCATTCAGCCCAACAGGACGACACCGCCCCTCCGAAGAGCATCCCAGCCAGACCCATTCCCCTACCCCTGCATTTCCCATGTCTAACCCACCTAACCTAAACATCCCTGGACACTACGGGCAAGTTAGCATGGCCAATCCACCTAGCCTGCACATCTTCGGACTGTGGGAGGAAACCCATGCAGGCACGGGGAGATTATGCAAACTCCACACACCCGATCCCTGGCGCTGTGAGGCAGCAGTGCTAACCACTAAGCCACTGTGCCGTAATCTATAATATTTCTACACATGGTCCACCTTCTCACTTACTTGTTGGGATACTTGCGGAAGATATCCCTTATGACCACAATAGCCTCCTGGACGACATAATTCACTTTGGTCTGAATGAGATCAAGCAGCGTGCTCACACAACGTTCAGCAGATTGCTGCAATACAGCAGATTGCATTTCAGAGCTGATAGTTTCAAAAATAATGAATCCAAACAACTCCATAATTCTAGATAGCCATGAACATTTAATGGAAAGTCAAACAAATAACATTTTAAAAGTACAGGTTTAGAGAATGGCAAGGAAAACTGTTTAAAAAAATCAGTTTCCTTTCGTTACCCTCCAACAGATCTACAAACAGGATCAAATTTTCAGTGACACATTGTGTGCACAAGAGGCGTACAGAGCAAGATCAGAATAGGGGCTGGCTGTGATGACCATTCTCAGATGAGTGACAGCTTGGGTGAGGCTATGAAAGCCCATTGGCACCAGTTGGGACCTTCCAGAAAGAACAAGCACAAAAGAATTTTACAAAAGCTAAAGTTAATCATCCTCCAATTCTACCAAATTGGAGATCAGGCGATGGCCTTGTGGTATTATAAGTGGATTGTTAATCTAGACTTCCAGTTAATGGTCTGGGGACCCGGGTTTGAATCCCACCATGACAGATGGTGGAATTTGAATTCAATAAAAAAAATTATCTGGAATTAAGGGTCTAGTGATGATCTTAAATTGACCATTATCAATTGTCGGAATGACTCATCTGGTTCCCTGATAGTCTTTAGGCCATCCTTGCCTGACTTGGCCTATATGTGACTTCAGACCCTCAGCAGTGTGGCTGACTCTTAACTGCCCTCTGAGCAATTAGGGATGGGCAATAAATGCTGGCCTAGTGACACCCTCATCCCGGGAATGAATAAAGAAAAAAATATCAGCTCTCAAACCACCAGTGAGCATCTGTGATTTAGAACTCATGGTGCAGAGTTTTAGCTCTTTAGTTTAGTGGCTGTTTTCTGTTAAGGTTGCTCGTTTTGCAAGATAATTTGTATTGTATTCACATTATATTTGGTGAGGATTCATAAAACATGTCTTGGTAATGTCATTAGCTTTCAACATTTAAATGACATACCTTGGTATTCATGACGAAGGCATCAGAAAGCCAAATCCCTACACCCCAAAAGCACCAGCTTTTGTTTTATTAAAATGCAAGGAGTAAAATAATCTGCAATATCTACATGGCTTTCAGAAAGTGCTGCAATTTGGACTGGTTTCTTTTTCACGAATGCTTGTGGTTCTGAGAAAATTTCTACACAGAAGGCCGAGAAGTGACCTTATAGAGGTTTAGAAGGTCATGAAGGGCATAGATTAGGTGAATAGCCAAGGTCTTTTCCCCCAAGATAGAGGAGTCCAAAATTAGAGGGCATAGGTTTAAGGTAAGAGGGGAAAGCTTTATAAAGGACCTTTGGGGCGATGTTTTCGTACAGAGGGCAGTGCGTTTACGGAATGAGTTGCCAGAGGAAGTGGTAGTGGCGAGTACAATTACAACATTCAAATGACATTTGGACAGGTACATGGATAAGAAAGGTTTAAAGGGATATGGGCAAAACACAGGCAAATGGGACTAGTTCAGTTTTGGAACCTTGGTTGATATGGATGAGTTGAGCGAAAGTGCTTGTTTCTTTGCTGTATGACTATGTTAATTAAATTGGAGGGGGTATAGGTTAGACTTACAAGGATATAACTGAAACCCTCCAATTCCAGTAACAAGGAGAGGCTAAATAGGCTGGGCTGTAGGAGGTTTTTTCACTGGAGTGTAAGAGGTTGACCCTACAGAGGTTTATAAAATCATGACAGGCACAGATAAGATGAATAGCAAAGGTCTTTTCCTTAGGGTAGAGGAGTTCAAAACCAGGAGGCATATTTTTAAAGTGAGAGGAGAAAGATTTAAAAAGGACCAGAGGGGCAACTTTTTCACATAGAAGGTGATTCATATGTGGAGTGAACTGCCAGTGGAAGTGGCAGGTGCAGGTACAGTTACAACATTTAAAAGACATTCGGACAGGTACATGAATAGGAAAGGTTCAGAGGGATATGTGCCAAAATCAGGTGAATGGGACGAGTCCAGCTTGGGAAAATTGGTCAGTATGGACAAATTGGACTGAACGGTCTGTTTCCAAGCTATATGACTCTATGGGAAAACTCTATAAATCTAAAATTTCCTACCTCAATAGGGGATTAAGAAAAATTTGTTTTGATTGCCCAACTTGCAAGTGGATCAAATCCTGGAACACTCTCCCTAATACGACTCTGTGTCCCTTCACCCCAAGGACTGCAGCAGTTCAAGGCAGCCACTGCCTTCTCCAAGCTAATTATGGATAGGCAAGAAATACTGAATGTCCACATCCATAAATAAAGAACGAATGTTTGGTAACATTGCAACAATGGTTCTTAGGCAGCACCAGAGTTTTTGACAGCATTAAGCTTACCTCAACTTTGATGGCACAGCGGCCAATGGCACGAACTGCTTTCCGCACAAAGTCAACATCAACTTCGGTGGCATACTCTTTCAGCTCTGCCAGGACCTGAGGGCAAAAAAAGGACATTTTTATAACAAACAGCTTAAACAACAGCCAACGCTTTTCAACTGAAACTGCAGCCAAACTCTTCCAGATCATGAGGTTTCCATCATTTTCTGTTTCCACAGCAATTAACGATCCTGTTTTCTTGAAGGGCAGCAAAACTGCAGTAAACATTGATCCAAATTGTGTTGTTGTAAAAATGGGGAAACGGACATTGTTCACTCTCGATACAACTGCAAAACTGACAGCAACTTCTGCACACATGCACTTAAACAGAGAGATCCACAATTTGGTGGCAGTGATTCTCCACAGGTTGAAGTCCTCACAATGGAAATCTTTAGAAATCACCAATGTGATGTGAATTTCAACTTTTACCGCTATTAATCTAACTGTGAAAACACCTGAAAGATGTATGCCTTGGTGAATGAGGTGAAACTGGGTTTTAATTGCATACCAAGTCATAGTTGTTGAACCAGCTAGCCGGTCCTGAAAAACTGACCTTACCATTGTTAAAAATGACACCAATTTTTAAAAATAAATTTGAGGTATATGAAGTTTCAATTTTTACCCTTACGCCACATATGTGTCCCAATCTTTACTTCTTTTATAAAATGATTAAAACGTAAAGACAACCATTGCTTCTGCCTTCCTGGCAAGCTCTCAGGGAGAGTTCGCTGTTATTAGCAATTTAAACTACCATCAAGAAAGCATAGCAACGCCTCTACTTCCTCAGGAGGCAAAGGAAATTCAGTATGTCCATAAAGACACTTACAAATTTTTATTGATGTATCACAGAAAGCATCGTATTTGGATGCATCACTGTGTGGCATAGCAACTGCTCTTCCCAAGGCTTAAAGAAACTAGAGAGTTGTGAACACAGCCCAGTCCATCACGCAAACCAACCTCCCATCCACTGACTTCATCTATACTTCCTGCTGCCTCAGGAAAGCAACCAACATAGTCAAAGACCCCTCCCATCCTAGTTATACTCTCTTCCACCCTCTTCAGTCAGGCAGAAGATATAAAAGTTTCTATGCACACAAGAAGAGATTCAAAAACAGCTTCTTTCTGCAGTTATCAAATTTTTGAATGGACCTCTTTGATGTTAATGTTCATCTCTCTTTCTCTGCACCTTTTTGGCAGCTGTAATGCCGAATCCTGCACTCTGTTCTGTTACCCCGATGCACTTGTATAATACGATCTGCCTGTAAAGCATGTATGACAACATTTTTCACTGTATCTCTGTACACGTGACAATAATAAATCAAATCAAAACTGTTCAGGGCATCACTGCTACCATATGCCTGAAGACAACTCTGAAATTAAATTAATGTTGGTGCTCACTAGATCTTTGTATTAAGTTTTTTTCCAGGCTGGCAACAAGTACTGTCATTCATCACTGGCTGTAAAGCCCAGGCACCATTACCTTAGAAATATTGCTGTGGCAATCCTGAAATAACCAGTGCTAAGTTGTGGCACAACTTTGATGAAAATTAGTTTTCATTGATTCAGTTTTTGAAGGCAACCAAAAGATTAATTTCTAAGCTCCAACCTTCCTTGCTCATCCATGCACTGGCCTGTAAGGTGTGGACCAAGCTAATAAACAATAACTCTGTTTTTCTCTCCACATATGCTGTCAGACCTGCTGAGTTTCTCCAGCAACTTCTGTTTCGGTTTTAGATTTCTAGCATCTACAATTCATTATGTTTAGTTTATTACCTTAACTGCCCATATCAAAAATCACTCAATGACAACTAGCTGTACAGCCCACATATTAACTTTTGAGTTGATTCCAAATAAGCTGGGGAAAGGACAAACAAATGGCGGTAGCAACAAATCAAAAGAACAGATGTGATCATTTGAACTGTTCTATTCAATTACTGTCATTTCCTGTAATATGGTGACAGTATAAGAGGCAACAAAATCCTGATTGGGATGCAATTCCATCAAGTACCTTTGGAGGCAGCAATGTAATTGGCATCTCAGAGAGGCATATTAAAAGTGACTGCTTGTGCATTCGTCTTTAAAGAATAAGCAAACCTGCCTTGATATAGATATCTCCGACTCCAGCATCGGCAGTTCTTACTATCTCTGCCTTGATATAGAGCCTTATAGAATTTCATAAAAAGTATTCCGCAACTAATTAATTCTTGTCCAGTCACTGTCCTCACTTTAAAGAAAATTACAGCCAAAGTGCACACAAAATCCCATAAACAGCAATCAGATAATAGCCATATAATGTATTTTCACCTTGGTTGAGGAAAGAACATTAGTCAAAGTGACAGGAGAACACTCAACTCTTCGTTGAATAATGTAATGGGATCTTTAATGCCCTCATAAACATGGGGATATCGACCTAGATTCGGCAAAGTCCCTAGAGTAGGTCTTTTGATTCAGTGATGGGTGCATATCACTAAATGAAGGTTAAGACTTGTTGATTAGCACATCTTCCAGGTCAAAGCCGACCATTACATTAATAAATAAGTACTAATATCTGAACTATGGGAGCAGGGTCACATTCCACAGAATCTCCTACGGCTTCCAAGTACAAAAATACTTGCCAAGATTAGATAGGCATATGGATGATAGTATAAGGTAGGGGTGGAGGTTAGATAGGCCTTAGGTTTAGGGTAAAAGTTCAGCACAACATCGTGGGCCAAAGGGCCTGTACTGTAAAAAAATAACAATATCTATTTGTATAATGCCTTTAATTTCAAAAGCAAGTTTCCTCACTTTCACTAACCTTTCTAAAATCAGTTACAAACCCTTCACATGTACATCAGAGATGATAATCAGATCAATGTCAAGATAAATTCTGTAGGATTGGACTGCTTTAATGTTAACATTAAACAAAATGATCCTGTAGTTAAAAATCTTTTACAACAACCTACATCACACTCCAAACTATGGTCTGCCCAGGGCATTATTACAGCAATGAGCCATTTATCTATTTAATCTGAAGTAGCAGTATATGTAAACACTCAGCTTTGGGCCTTTTACTTTCTAAGATAAATTACATTACTCATGCTCAGATAGAACAGAAGAAGTCTGTTTTCTTTGTTAGGATCTTGCCAGCCCCTGATAATTCTATTAGGCCCATTAGAGAAGTCAAGAGGAAAGGAACCGCACATCTGCTTAACCTTTGCTAGCTATTTTCAGGATCTATGAATAGGGATAAAGCATTTTCTAATTTAGTTCCAACTTTGTAAGTGCGCACAAAATTCTCTTTATATCACAGTGATAGCACTAATTGCTACATCTACATGGTTGACTGACTCATCAGGCCAAACACATATGCTTCTGCTTACAGATATTTTTAATCAACTTGTTCAAACACGCTATGACACACCGATAGAGCAGAGGAGACTTGAACCCAGACCTTCTGACACTACTACACCACAAGACCCATGCTTAAGCTTATTGAGTCACTAGCATTGTGCAACATAAGCACTACGACTGGCCACATGCCGACTTGTTGGATGCAACTTTATTGTCTCTGGCCAACTGTTTGTTCACAAGGAGGAACAAAACACAAAGTATCTCAGGTTGGGTTAGACGCAGCTCAGAATCAAAAGATATTTGGAAGTATTAATCATCTGATCCAGGTATGCAAATCTGAGCACCTGTTCTACATTGATAGATCAACTGAAATTTTCACCTTAGATTTTGTGGGATCCTTACTAATAACCATTAACTTGGTTTCTGAACATTCATTTTCGTTCTTTTTTAAAACCCAGATTAACTTCATTCAGGATCCACTGCAATTTCTTTTTAACCCCAGTCAAGATTCTGTAATTTGTGTATTTAAGGTTGTTTTTGTTACCACTAAGACCAGCACTATCCCTTTAAGGTGTTCAATTTTTCCAAATATAGCTTCAATATTGAGATCAACAAAGTGTGATGGCAAAGCACAATCCTGGAACATTCACCTGATCTGTATTCCATCCAGCGTTGTCTTTTTTATTCTGAATCTTTGGTCTTCCTCAATTTTCATTTTTCATGATCCACACATGTAATTTTTTTTTCTAGTATGAGAGACATATCTACACATAGGAACAAGGGTAGGCCATTTGGCCTCTGAATCTGCTCAACCATTTAACAAAATCATGGTTGATATGCTTACACTGTCAGTTCCACTTTCCTGTCTAGCCCTCAACGTCCGATTTCCTTATTTATCAAAAATGTGTTGGACTCAGATTTGAACAAATTTAGAGACAAAACTTCTACCACCTTCTGGGGAAGAGAATTCCACATGCTAAGGACACTTTAAGAGAAAACAAATTCTCATTCGAAAAGAGAGACCTCTTCATCTTAAGATTTGTCCTCTAGGGTCTCCACCATAGGGCCATCATCTGGAAACCCACCATATTCAGTCTCCTCAACATCTTGCATGTTTCAATAAGATACCTATTCAATCTTCCTTCATTAGGTAAGTCTTGCATCATAACAATTAGTCGAGTAAACTGCTTCTAAAGAAATTATATACTTTTTTTCAAATAAGGAGATTAAAACTGTATACAGTACTCAAGTACTAAACCAACCCAAGACTTCCTTCCTTTTACATTCACATCTTTATCCATCTCCAAGCACTGCTCACAGATAAAGATCACTTTCCTAGATCCTTTTCAGACATAAAACCACACTGTGCGTTTATTATCATTGAAGCACAAAGTGCTGGAGAAACTCAGCAGATCAAGCAGTGTCTGAGAGAGAGAAACATTGAGTCCAATATGACTCTTCATCAGAGCTTCAGTTCTGTTCGGAGAAAGGCTGTTTCTCTCTCCACAGATGCTCCACAGATGTTGAGACTCTCCAGCTTTTTCTGTTTTTCATAGAATCCCTACAGTGTGGAAACAGGCCCTTTGGCCCAACAAGTCCACACTGACCCTCAGACATCCCACCCAGACCCATCCCCCTATCCGACACATCCCTGAACACTACGGGCAATTTAGCATGGCCAATCCAACTAGCGTGCACAACTTTGGACCAAGAGAGGAAACCAG